TTTTTTAGGGTGGGCAAAAAAAAAATTTTGTGAGAGATTGGCAAAAATTCTTAGGATTGATAAAAGTAAGGCAAAAAAAGATTTTTGAGGAGGGGCAAAATGCCCAAAATATTTCAAAATCTCCCCTCTAAATATTAAAAAAAAAATTTTGAGGGTAGGCATTTGCCCACCCTAAGCTATGGGTGGATCCGCCCATGTGTATAGATGAGATGAATTCGATGAAATGAAGAAGCCAACTTGCAAGTATTTCACTACTATTTTCAAAATTGATTCTTATGTCATTCCCATCATTGGGACACTGATCACTCTGCCCATTCTACCACTTCCTCTGCCACTATAAGAGGCCAGCTTGCAAGTATTTCAAGGGGAGAGATTATTAGGTGCGGAGTGCAGACGGGGAGAACCGTCTGCACACTAGTATAAAATCCAGCTAGGTACCGTTCGATACCGCTGGGTACCACTAGGTACCGCTTGGTACCCTGTGTTTGTGCAGACGGTGCTCTCCCCATCTGCACTCCGCACCTAATAATTATTCATTTCGGGCCTTATATATGCATTGAGTGGATAATTAATCATTGACCTATCCAATTAGTCCCAGACTTGGAAGAGAATATGAAGAAGAAGGAGACAATGATGATGAATATGGGGAGGTCTAAGATAGGTTGTATTTTAAGTTGTTTCTTGTATTTTATGTGGAGTTGAAGTGTTTGTATTTTTTAATTTAATGATTTATGTTTTTAGTCTCATTTATAATTTTGTTGGGTTTATAGTTGCTAACTAGTTTCTTCTTGTGATTATGTAAGTCTATTTCATATTTGTGGTGATCATCACCCATTTGATTGTGATAAATCAGAAGAAGTTGTAAGGAACAAGAATATTAGTATAAGTAAATCACATAATATGGGCGAGCTTGCAAAGCTTGGGGAGTTATGAAATAGAAATTTAGGGTTAGTATGCATGAAAATAAAAATATTAGTTTTAAATTTATGTTAAATATTTATAAAATTAAAATTAAAGCAAATTAATTAAAATGAAAAATATATAAAAAAAATATAAAAAAAAAAGATTATAAATTTAACTATGAAAAAATATATGATAAAAATATAAAAATAAAGATTATATAGAATTTAACTTATAAAATATTACTGATAAATCATTATAAAATTTTGAATTAAAAAATAATTAGCATAAGCTTAATAAACCTTACTCACGGGCATAATTGACTGACAAGGATCAATAATTCATCCAACCTGACAAACCCACTCTAATCTTACCAAAAAATTTAGGTTTAAGTCGGCCTAATTATTATTTGGGTCAATTTCGAGTTGAAATATTATCTAGATTAATTTTAGGGTCTTATTCAGGTTGACCTAAAAATTTGAAATTGATCCAAAATTGACTTGATAATCATTTGAATCTACCCAAAAAGTTAAATTTGTGTTGATCTAAAAATGCATGATCTATACAATAAATGGGTCGAGTTCAGATGAAACAAATACTAGTCGACTTAGATAAAAAAATTTAACCTTATGAAATAGACTGATTTATAATAAAATATACTTGATTAGATCAACTCCATCTATGACTGAATCCACAACTTAAAGCTTCATTTGAGATAATTTTTATACTAACGAAAGAGGAAGCACTAGACACAGGTGTCTTGGGTGAGTGAAAGTGTGAAACAAACTCGGGAAGTTGGTGAATAAGCTAAATGCAAAGGAAGAGCCAAGTAGAAGTCCATAAAAATCTCAAAAATTAAAAAGAGGCGTTAGTAAGTTCACCTTTTCAAATAGGATGTTTGTTGGAATCTGGCGAGCAAGACAATCGCATTGATAGACGATAGGAAGAATGGAACATACAGACATTTGTTCTCAAGTATAGGAAAGAAAGGAATGCGCCATTTCATGTAGGGATGCGTTGATACGAAGAAGAAATAACGAAAGGAAGAACAACATGATATTCCTTCACGAGCAGATGGAATGATAGATAAACACTAAATGTGCCATTTCAAATTGAAGATGGAAGAAGGAATATGAATATAATTAAAAAAAATTAACGATGGATATTAATTTAAAATTTTCTAAGGAATAATCAGGATGATATGTATGAATTTTCACAATATGAAATAATTTTTTAATACAATTTTTATTATAAAATTAAAAATTTTATACTAAAAATCTATTTCATAAAATAATAATAAAAAATGTCCCAAATAAAACTTACATTACCACAGAACGAAACATTCGGTACTATACTTAGCAGTTGGTGGCCAAGCTCCGTATCGACAGCCTCCACCGCTCGCCTGGGAACACAGCATACGCGTGATGTGCAGGAGCAACACCAAAAAAACAAAGGCAATTTTGTTTTACGTTTCCTATAAAAACGCAATTTTTAAGTATATTTACGCTTCTTCCTCAATTTCGATTAAATCACGTTGCTTTTACGCTTAATTGCTTGAACGGCGGCTCATTTTTAAAATTTCAGTTTTTTTTTCTTTTTGCCTTCAAGAGGAGAGAGGGGCTGTTTCGGACTTTGGGTGCAAGTAGCATTTAACTCAAATAGGATCCTGCTCAAATCCTGCATACAAACACCCCTAAAACACGGTAGAATTCCGGTTGTCACACTCCATGGAGACGCTCAAATCTCTTCTTCCGGATGACCTAAAGCTGCTTATCGGCCAAAGCACTTCAGATAACCTCGACCTAACTTGCTCTTCACTTCTGGAATTCTGCCAGCTTCTGCCCCAGTTTCAGAGAGTGAGAGCCCTTTTCAGCTGTTCTGTGCTTATTGAAACGGTCTCATTACTTCAATCCCCGTTTTTGTCTCCCTCTGTTTCAGGTTATTGGACAATTAACTGGTGGAGTGGCTCTTTGTCGGAAGAGTAAGGAGTCAGCTTTGGATTGGAAGAAGAAAGGAAATGAATGCTTCTCAGAGGGAGACTATGCTAAAGCTTTGACCTTTTACTCGAAGGTTGTCGCGATTCCCTACTTATGTAGCTCTATTCAAAGAAATTAGGGTAGGATGGTTATTTTGACCGTTTTGTGGACATATTTATTAAGATTGAAAGGAAACAAAAGTGATGTTCGATTTCAATCGAACTGGACCTAACTTTCTTAGAGGACAAATTTAGGATCGATCCGTATGAGATGCAGCGATTAGGTTACCTTGTTTAACATAAACATACTCTCTACGATACTGTGATTCTTCGGTAAGGCTGCTTTTATCAAGCGGATTAGTACTGCACTAGGTGCGATCTTTATTTTATAATTTTAGCATGTTAAACTCGTAATCTTGATCAGCATAATCTTGCAATCATCTCACATCAGCAGTTCAGATCACTTCAGTACCAAATTTTAATTTGTTTTTACTCGTTTCTCTGCTAGTATTGCAACCTTTAGTCCCTCGTTTATTATCTAGTTGCTGTTGCTACTTACACATCATGGCCTTCTTGAACAGGCATTGCGGTATGCACCAATGGACATGGATGGTATGGATGATAAGTTAGTTGGAGCTCTTTATGTTAATCGTGCATCTGCACTACATGTATGTGTCTCTATCTATTTTCTTCATTGTTGTATTTGTGATGCCCCGGTATTTAAAGTGAAAGAATTTTCTTTTTTAGTATATGTCCAATACATTATATTTCTTTTATCTTTCATTTAATAATATGATTAATTTCAACATCCTGAGCTTATTAATTACATTAAAGAAGAAAACCAATAAACAATGGAAAACATAATTCATATTTTCATGGTCCAAAATTAGATCATATCAATAGAGTCCAAAATGATATATACACTAGTCACTATGGCTACAAAAGAATACATAAACTAAAGAACTGAAATAAAACTATGCTAGCATCAGCGTATACATAACTCAAGCTGCATGCTCCTTATCTGAAATCATTTAAACCACGTAATGAGTTAATAGCCAACAAGTAATTAAAATCTTACTACTGAAATCAATGCAATATAAAAGAGAAATAATATGCTGTAAATCATGTAAATAAATATATGCATCAATATCTATGCTAGTTATCTGTACAAATTGCTCAGTTTATAACATATCAGATCGCAGTCAACAATATTAATAATAGTGATCCGTATCAGTAATTGTGAATAGTCTCAACAACAATAACAATATCAGTAATCGCTAATCAATAATAGTAATCAATATCATCAGTAACAATAATGAGTAATCAATAACAGTAATCAGTATCAATGTGGTGTTCAGATATTCAGTTGCTCTCGCACTTATGACTCCTAAACAGTCACTCGTATGATTCTCAATCAATAAACTCCTTATAACTACCCTTGAATCACGTGACAGTTGCCCCGGTTCTTTATAACTCCATCAATCTCTATCTCCTTATAACTCTGAATCGTTCTTTGAAATCGTTGTATTGTTATAGTGTTATCATATTATATATCTGATATCAATCAGTGACTCATTTTTCTATCAGATTAACATCAGTATCAATATAGTATCATTTCCTTGCTCAGTCAAATCAGTATTATATTCCAGTACCTATCAATCATTTCAGCACGTCTGACAGTCCAGTACATCTCACCAATCACATTTCATCACTTTTCACTTCAATTTCAGTAAACATTTTCCCCACACATTTCATAGAAAAAATCCTATACACAAATTTAACTGGTGAAAATGCAAGAAAATCATATCAAATTATTCAAAATGATCAAAATTTTAATATATCAAAAGTTATGCCGTGAAAGCTTATAAAATCAGGAGATAATGTAGATTTAACAAATTTAGGAGAGATAAATCCATACAAATCAAAATCATCGAAAATAGAGATAAGAGGATTGTCACTTATTATGATCAAAATACTTTTCGTAAAAGGAACGGTAGATGAAAATGCCCCGATGGGCTTTCTCTGTCCTCTCTCTCCATTTCTCCCCCCTTCTCCTATGATTCCTTCCCGGCCAAAGCATGTGAGTGAGAGGTGAGAGAGGTGGGGTGGATTTAAGGAAAAAAAATATTAAAAAAATATTTTTAGTGGCCTAGCGCCACAGTGCTCAGTCCCAGTGCCCCTTGCAAAATTTAGGTTTACTGTAGAACAAAGACACCAGCGCTGCGGCGGCAATTTCTGGCGCCGCAATGCTCACATGTACAACGCCGAAGCGCTGTGATTCAATTAGAAATTTAGAACTTCATATTTTTCATTTAAAACGCTTTTCATATCTTTGGGTTATTACAATATTGGTGTCTTCAATTTCTTGTTTTTGTAGCTACATTATTTCTCAAGAATTTATTAAGTGGTGACATGTGAATAGCATGGAATTTCGATTTGCATGATCCATATAGCATTTTGTTGTTCTGTGGGTTTTTTATTTTACATACTTTTTTGGCTTGCGTAAATTCGGATGTTTTGCAATTATTACTGGATTTATTAGCTTGTCTGTTATTTCATTCACATATATGATATATCTATACAATATATCTATGCTTTTAGGGTATTGATATTTTAATATAAACATGGACACTAATCACAGCACTTAAGAAGTTGTTTTTTTTATTGTATGAGGTTTCAAAATGATTGTTTAAGTAGGCTCCTTTGGTATGCCTTAATTTTTTTTTCTAGATATCTAGTTTAGTGGATTTCATAGTGATATTTTACTCCATCACAACACCCATTTTTTATTTTTATGACATATTTACTGAGAATGATATATCAAATCTACATTTCCAATCCATGAAATGATATACCTTATCCATAATAAAAATAAGTTGAGTTCCAGTCAGGGATATTGTTGATTTCAGTACTTTTTGTAAATTTCTTTTTTTTCAGTGCATTGTTCTGATAATTTTTTTTTTAACTTAATGGATAATAGATGATGCAACATGAAATTTAAATTAGGAAAGTTTCAAAAAATAAAGGACCTTATGATAAAATGTAAATAATGCAATATTAAATTATCATGAAAATATGTACCAAAAGTATGATTTCAACTCAAAATAATATTTATGGATTTTAATGGAATTGAAATCAAAACATGAATTTTAATTTTTGTAAGAAAGGTTATTTGTGTGCTTGTTGTCAAAGTATGCTATGTTGCACTTGTCTTGATCCATTTTGAAGTGATTTCACAATTATTTTAGTCATTAAGTTGGTATGTATATCATATAACCTGTGAATATGTTGAATTAAATTTGCCATGAATTCAATCTACTTGAAACACTTAGTTAACATATTAGAACATCCAAGCATATATTTGTTATCCTTAAAATCAAAATAGCGAACCTTAAGGCTCATGGAGCTGATAGTACGTAGTTCGCCAGAAATTTATATAAATTGCAAGATTGAGAGAAGGGGGATAAGGAAGAAGAAGAATAACTCAGTTAAGGAGGTATTTAAGTTCTTTTTTGCCTACCAAATACACTCCAAATGTAGGTAAATATAAGGATACAATGGTCACTCTAACAACATAGTAACATAACCCACTTTAACATTAAACTTGTTGACCCTAACATAACCAACTCTATCATTATGTACTAACTCATATACTCTCTTATAATTACATATTAAACAACTAATAGTCTTTATGACCTATAAACTCAATTACTATCTATTAAATGTATCATTAATACTTGGTCATGATTTCCAATTGGTTTTGTTATTGATTTGTTTTCCAATTCTATGTATTATTTCTAGTAGGAGGCTATTACATTACAATCTAGATGGATTTCTTAGCATTTTTGGTTTCATAGAAAATATAAAAATGAAGAGATTGTATTTGAGTGTTTTATGTTATTCTGTGTTTCTTATTGTAGTTCTACATTAACAAATTTTGGACCCTAAGATGATTTTGATTTCAAAGAGGCAAAAGAGTTGCATGATTTGTGACTTGTAAAGTTAATTAATTATAGACATGGCAATTGGTAATATGTTTAAGTCCGAACTTTTCTGCTATTTTTAGTAATTTTGCTTTGCTCTTTGCTTTGTCACTATTATATGGATTTGTATTCTTGTTCCACTGAAACGGATCAGAAGTTGGCAGTTTTCAGTTTCCATCGTATAGTGTAGCTATTGTCTTCCACCGTAAATTGTAGTAGTACATTTTCTGCTTCTCACTGCAATTGGTATTACTATTTTCATTGCTTAATTCGCCTTAATTTTAGGCTTGGTACAGGAGAGGGAAGGCAAATGCTTCACTCCAACGGCATGAAGCTGCAATATGTGATTTACAGATTTCTTTGTTTATGGAAGGTTCTGTATCTGGGAAAACCCAGATAAAGGAAGATATTCAGTTGCTATTACCTCATCGCAGTAAGGCAACAAATGAGTCAGATTATACAAAGAAAAATGAGAAATTACATGATGTTTTAGGTATTGTTTCATCTTTTAATATAACACATTTTCTTTCTGTTTTTTATTTTTTAAAAATCTAATCATACTTGCTGACTATATCCAGACCTGCATGGGTTGTTTAATTGTTTACTTTATCCTCTACATTATATCTTGCAACAATGTCATCAAACTGAGCAAATTCAGGGATTCTATGATAAACTTGAATAATTACCACGCAATTAGGAGCATAATGACACTTAAAGTTTAATAAACATTCATTTGACAATATTGACCACCTGATCTTTGTGCTTAGGACATATAACTTATGTTAATAAATAGAAACAACTCTGTTACTGAAATGGGAATTGCTCAAAGAGATCAGCAGCAAGTTTTTGTCTCTCCTTGCTGAAAGATGATGCTGGCATACGTATTGATGGGACCTCTCATGCGCTTGGTACTTCCTTTTTCTTTCCTTCATTGCTTCATAATATTTTATTGGAAGAACTTTGGACCAAAATAACCCTATTAAACATGTTCTGTTACACCCTCTTGTAAACACTTGTCCTATTCGTAAATTCTCCACAACTATGAATATCTCCTAGGGCTGCAAACGAATCGAGCCGAGCCGAGTATGTGAGTGTTCATGTTTGTGTTCATTTAATATCAGGTTGTTCAAGTTTGGTTCATGTTTGTTCGAGCTTAACTGTTTGTGTTCATGTTTGGTTAATTTAAATTAATGAGTGTTCATGTTCGGTTCATATTCGTTCGTTTAGTGCTTTTCGAACTTTAAACAAACAAACATAAACAAGCTATAAACGAGCTCTACTTTTAGATGTTCATTAACTTAACAAACGAGCTTTATCGAGCTTCCTAACAAACGATTACATCGAGCATGTTCGCGAACTTAATGTCGAGCTCTATTTATATTATTTATATTTATTAATTCTATAATCAAATATTAATTATTTTTATCAAGCTTATTCACAAGTTCACTATCGAACACGAATCGAGCTTAATGTAGAGCTTGTTCACGAACTTCAAATGATGTTATTCACAAACGTAAATGAGCCGAACGCAGTAGTGTTCAAGCTTGTTTATTTAAAAATCGAATATTTAAAATATTGTTCAAGTTTGTTTGTTTAGTTAATTAAACGATCACGAACGAGTTTTAATCGAACCGAACAACGAGTAGCTCGTCGAACGTTTGGTTCACTTGCAGCCCTAATATCTCCCTTCCTTCAGACCTCTAAATTTTTGGTTTGTCTTCCTTTATATTTTGTCAGGGGTAGCCTCCATACTGGTTTTGAATGGTACTTATAAGAATTTTTTTTTTAATTTTTTTCTGTTTAATGTCTTAGATTGTCCTAACTTTTTGGAAGAACTATGAATATTTAACTTAAAGTAGTATTGTATCTTTCTTGTTGAATTCATTCTAGAAGTCTATCATTTAATTTTGTTTTTGAAGAACAATATTTGTCCTGCGAATTTTAATTTAGATAAAATTATTAAAATGTTTAGTATCCGGTTTCGCTTCTGTTGGTACCCCTATTTTCATGAAATCACCAATGTTTAACTGTAGAAATAAATTTTCTTAGATTTTCCTTGAAATCACACTGTATATTTGAATGCAATTTGTTGACATGGGAAACTGATAATTTCTTAGTCAAATGATTCCTAAAAGTATGTGCCTTTATTCAAAATAAGCTAAGCAAAATATTTTTTTGTTACAGCCGATACTAAGCTGCATTGCGTTACAACACCAGATAAAGCCAGAGGAATGGTCTCTTCAAATGACATTCCTGCAGCTTCATTAATTCACACCGAAGAACCTCTTGCTGCGGTTTGCTATTCCCTTAATCAGCATTGAGTACATTTTTTATTCTTGCTCTTTCTTTCCCTTGTAAACACGAGCATATACTTGAAAGTCTGCTACCCAGTAGATTAAGGCTGCGTTTGGGACAGCTTTTTTGCTGCTTCATAAAATAGTTTTTTAGTAAAAAAGAAAAATGTTTGTACTAAAAAGTTGCTTTGAGAAGCAAATAGAAAGCCGTCTCAAACGAAACCTCATTTCTTTCTCAGGAATAAAGTCATTCTTTTTCACTAACTTCTCATTCTTATATTGAAGTTATTAGTTGTTTCTTACTTCCCACAGTGTTATGCAGATTATTACAAAGTCTTGCCGCGAAACACATTGCCATTTTTGCTTCAATGAAGTTCCTGCAGATCCTTTGTTCTGCAGATCATGCACAATACCACTTTACTGCTCCGAGCATTGCTTAGAACAAGCTGTGGGCTGTAACTTTGTCAGGAGCAATGATTTTTCTAATTTTCAGAATAATTTATCAGTAGAACTTTGGAAATATGCTACAGAAAGCATCTCACTATATCATAGTGCTCGTGAAAATGGTGGTGACCTGCCTGAACATACTCATGAATGTGGAGGCGCACACTGGCCTGCTGTTTTACCACCTGATGTAGTTTTAGCTGGCAGAGTCATGATGAAGTCCATTGAGAAGAGAAAACTTTCTGGAGGATTGGATAAGAATATTGAAACTATGGTATATTTCTGAGCCTTCCTATTCTTGATAAATTTCAAGGAAATGTCTCATCACATTTTGGATTTATTAGGATTTCTCTCACAGTTATAACAAAATTCCTCCTGATCACAAGTTGGAGATGCATCTATATGCCCTGGTCTTGGCTTGTTGTCTTCGCCATTATTTGCCATCTCTTGAGACTTCTATTTCCAAGGTATGCTGATACAGAACATTTCTTAACATTTTTTTCCAATTGGCTTAACTCTTATTAGCTTATAGGTAGCAGGGCATGAACTTTATATTATCCAATTAGGGTATATTATTAAATATGTATCATACATTATTTATAATAATATCTTGAAGCATAGAAATAAGGAATATGTGAAGTGTTAAAGCTGTAAAGAGAAAGTGGAAGGGTAACTGAGTCAAAAAAGATTTATTTGGATCTTCAACTTGGTCATTCACTAACCTTTACCAAACTCCCCTTGTTTCAATAATTACATATATGCACCTTTCTTATGAATGATAAACTTGGTCATTCTCTACCCTCTGGTTAAGCCTGAATAGTTTCTTGTATAATTTCAGTTGCATTTGCTATACCTGATAAATAGTCACCATTCCGCAATTTTTCTTCGCAGTTTGTTTTGCTGATATCCCAGATTAAGGTGAATTCTATGGCAGTTGTGCATATGAAATCATCTGATGAGCCTGATTTGTCGAAAAAATCATCAGACCTCTCTGCAATTGGAAATGCTTTTACTTCTACTGTTGAGCAGGTATGTTTCTTCTTCTCTTCCGTAACTTTTTAACTTAGCGCAAATGAATAGAATTAAAAGCTATCCTTCCCAGCGAAAATTTTTGATAGTCTCTACCCTTGCGTCTTAATATTTCTGAAGGATGATAGTTTGAATTTCATTTTGAGGAAGAATAAGAGATTGTAGATGAATGATGAGGTTTGGCATTAGGGACATTTCCCTCAACCCACATGTTACATCATTATTGTATCTATGCATTAGAAGTAACAACAATAATACTGGTTCATTCTTGTTCTGCATGATGGTCGACCAAACAATTTTTCTTCTTGATGAAAGTTGTAAACATGTTTATGGCGGTCAGTATCCCCCATAACCCTATTAGTTTTGATAATATTAATTTGAGTAATTCCTTAGTTCTCCTGCATAACTTTCATCCTTTTTTTTTGTCTCAAATTTTGGTTTTGATTCAGCCAACAAATTACTACGTTTCTGTGAGAAGCAATATGTTTGGAAGAGATGCAAGAAACCCACAATGGCTAATGAATTGACTGAAAATTTTCCTTAGCTTTGTTGCTCATTTGAAGGTTGTACTAGTATCTTTGCCGTTTAATTGAGTATCTAGGTTTTTAGATGGTCTTTTATGTCATTTTGTTTTAGGAATTTGTTGCAAAATTTTTATGTTTTTGCATGCATTTTGGCTTATATGGTTTCAAGTTGATCAAGGTTCAAGTTTCTTTGGTCAAGCCATATTTTTGTTTAATGGTTTAAAAATCGTAATTTGGAGAAAAGAATCTAAATAATCTTGATTTCAACCATAGATTTCGGTTTAAGGGAATGAGGCTTTTAAATTATTTACTTTCATCTTTTCGCTCCCGCTCCCTTAATCAACAATAATGTTACTAGATATAGGATGGTGGGGACAAATGATGAGATTGAGACAATAAATGAGTTAACATCAGTGTGTTAAAGCTGAACTTAGTAGTATTCAGGTCTTACCAAATTTTGATTGCATATTTGCATTAATTAAAATATCCAAGGACTTGGGGACTTCATTAAATTTTCTCGGTCTCTATAAACTGAAGATTTCAATGTTCTTTCGAGTGTTTGGTCATCTATGTTAACTCATATATGGCAAGAGAATCTGTTAGGAAATACGTGGAATTCCCAATTAAAACCTAACTATCTTGATGAAAACAGCAAGAATGATCCACAAATCCAAAGGAAAAAAATAAGAAAAACAATAATTTTATTGCAATAATCAAACTAACGGAAGAAAATTAACAAGATACAATTGATCTTCTATTCGAGAGGAGGATCTATCTCTCCCAAATCTCTAGACGCCGCTAGAGCCCAAAAACGTAAACCTAAGAGATCTCCAATTTTAGCCAAATTCAAGATTCCACAACCCTAGGAAAACAAACTATTTAATGCATACAATCCAAAAGGAAATATCTAAACAGTCCCTACATTCAAATTTCCTAAATGGCTCGGTGGCGTGGGTGGTACGAACGACTCATATAGGAGACGGAAGATTTCCGCCTCTATTATGCGTGAGCCGGTCCCGTGTAGACCGGCTGGACCGATCTAACAGAATCATGTGATCATATCAGAATTTGAAGAAAATCTAATGCTTCTAGTTTGAGCCAAGGGACTTGCTTGGGTTTAGTTGAAGCGGGAAAGCTTTAAAATCCTCTTTGCTTAATATGATCTCCTTTTGTTTTGGTTACTTCTGAATCAGCACAATAAATGATAAATGAAATATCTTTTTTCAATGAAAAATGAACAACAGTGGCTTTGATACTTTTGCAAATAATATCCAAGGTCATTGCAAGGGAACTTACCAATCTGACCTTGTGGATGGTCCAATCATTTAAGTATATCAATTTTAGCTAAAGATATGTTGGACTATGGTTCCCAACACTTATTCATGTTAATTTTCTTCGCTGCTTAGCCTTAAGATTATTTCTTTTCTTTCTCATTTCCATATATGCTTTGCTTACCTCACAGGTTCGAGTTGGCCAAGCCATTTATTCCAGGGGAAGCTTATTTAATCACTCATGCAAGCCAAATGTCCATGCATATTTTCTTTCGCGCACACTTCACCTACGCTGCACTGAACATGTTCCAACATGGTACCCGCTCGAGCTCTCTTATGGCCCACAGGTAATTCAGCCTCTTCATCCTATTTTTTAGATTAACAAGCTCCAATGTTGTCCTTCACTTTCACCTTAACTTCTGTGCTGTCAATTAGATTGGCGAACTTGATCATCAAGAAAGACAAAAGATGCTTGAAGATCAGTACTTTTTCAAATGCCGTTGCATTGCATGTTCAGAGCTTAATTTATCTGACCTTGTAATCAACTCTTTTAGGTGCTCTAAGCCCAACTGTCTTGGTGCAATCCTGGGCAGGGCTTATGAGAAACTTGAGGATGACTCTTGGCTTGTTTCTGCTGCATCTTATTGTAGCAAGCTCTCTTTGCCTGTGGTAGGTAATTTAGCTTACACTAAATTCTCCATCCTTTAATGTTGAACGTTTATATTTTGTTCTTGAATATTACTTCTTACAGTAACTAGTATCAATCGATCAATTTTACTAATGTCATTTCATATATATTTCAAAGTTTCAGGAACATAAAATGAACATTTGTGAGGTGGCTCATTTTCTTCTTGAGAAAGATACATTACAGAAAATAGGTCCCGGTAATTGCTTGAGTTGCTGCTCATCTCTTGATTTGTCATCATCGACCTCAGCATCTAATAATTCTCTGTCAGATATTTGCAGGTATTATCTTTTTACATTCTCAAAACTTTACAAACTATTTTATTACTTTTTTGGCGATCAACTGATTTAGTGTTGTAACTCACAGATTGAAGGACTTGATACTTTCCTTTGTAGCTAAAGATAGTTTAATCTCTGATATCCTGATATCACTTGGTGATCTGAGATCTGTTAAGCATGCATACAGCAAGGTTGTTGCTCAGGTTAGCTGAATTTACAGATTAATTCATACATTTGATATTTTTTTGAGTAAATTAAATTTTGTGCCTAAGATAATCCTCTTGTGGTCTGGTCTGGCTATTAGCAGTTCATCAAGCAAGATCAAACAATATTTGCTGAATATGACCTAACAGATAAAATTTGATGACACCGCAGGCTGAGGATGACGTTGCAGAAACCTTTGCTATGATCGGTCAGTTTGCGCATGCAAAAAAGCATTGCCAAGCATCCATGGAGGTATGCATTTCTATGATGTTTAGTGCTTTTATCTGGACAGTGGATCTGTATTATATGTCAAATGATTGTGTTTTACGTTAAACATTCTGCGGTGCGAAAAACTCTTCCCTAAAAAATTAAATAGTTAGTGTCCGTTAGTGACTGTGGTCGCAGAACAGGCTCATAGATCGCTCTCAGTTCACCTTGGAGTGGGCAGGCATTGTAGTTTAGTGATCATGGAAGCTTTGACATCCATCATGAAGGTATATGCATCATGAATAAGATCAATAAAATTTGCAAGGGTCTCATGGGAGTGGAGTATGGCTGTGGCAATGATGATTGTTGAAGTTGACTTATAATAGTGTAGAAGCATGTAATAATATAAGAAACTATTGGCATCCTACATAATAGCCTGAACAGCTGGTGAAGAATTTAGATATTTTCACACTCTATGCCAAGGTTTAAAATTGCGTAACTGTGCCTCGAGGCGGTTTTCGTCCGTGAGGCGAGGCATAAGCCTCGAGGCGGTCTGAGGCGTAAGCCTCACGAACACAGAATTGCGTAAATGAAAAATTAAGGATTTTAGCAGGAAAATAATAGCAATATTGGAAAATAAGAAAGTAGATGCAATAAAATTATGTCCCAAAGTACAAAAACACAAAATATCAGTTTATCAAAACTCCCAAAATACTTGAGGTGCGCCTCTAATTGCGCAATTTTAAACAGAGCTCTATGCCACTGCATATGACCTCTTGTATAACAACCTGATGGTGGCAGTATTGGAAAATTAAAGTCAGGTGGCAGTATTGGAAAATTAAAGTCAACCTGTGATGGAGCGGAAAATAGTAGGAAATCGGGGAACAATTTTTATCTTCATCCATAATGGTTCGGAAGCAACAACAATGATTGAAGGCTCCTTTGGCTCAGTTGCAGCATTGAACTCTAACAAAATTTCCCATCCTAGCTTTGGCTCATCCTCTTCCTTTGGCACAAAATCATGTTTAAAAGAGGAATTTTTTTTTTTGCTACAAAATCAAGCTTTGGATTAAACACATCATCACATTTAGGTTGAGTTTCAAGTTTAGACATGGGGAGTACTTGTAATCCTCATCAACATAAGAAAGTTGAGGTAGTTGGATTGAGTTGTGGCTGGTGGAGCTTTTAGGGTTAATGAAATATGCGAAGTGTATGGAGTAGAATAAGGTCATCAAGTAAGTTGAGTTTGTGGAACTAAACGGTGTAGTTGTGTAAGGGAAGAGCGAGATTGAGTATTATCAACATAATATGAGTGACGGTAATGTAGGTTCTGTAGGATATTTTTATCGAAGTCAATAATGTGATTGGTGTCCTCTTTGGGTAGTAGTGAAAAAGTTATTTAAGTGATGGTGAAACGAGCATTTGGAGTTTGGATTATTTAGTGCTGAAACTTCTAGCTATTAAAGGGCAAGTTTTCCTTGGAGAAAAATGAGTAGTTCTAGATCAAAAGTTTGAGATATTAGGGAACTAATGGTAGTGTTTTTATAGATTTTGAATGGGTGGATAAGGAGTTATGATATTTCTAATCCGGTTGCTAAAAGCAGGAAATTGTCTCCCTATACTGAGATTTTGGCTAGGGTATTTTGAAGTTATAAGGGTGGATGAGACCTTGAAAAGTTATGAGGGATGTAGCAGAATATTAGAAAAGTTTTGAAGAGATTGGATGTGTTTTGGGGTTGAGGGAAGCTAAGCTAGATGCTATGAAGTGGAGATAAAAATTGTGTCGGAAAAAATGAAAAATACTGATAAAAAAAAGATAACTAAAGACTCACCAAAGGTTTAATGGGATCAGCCACCAAGCATCACCAGATAGTTGAGTAGTCATTAAACATTTTCACATAAAATTTGCACAAACAAAAATAATTTTTATTCATTGAGTTAAAAAATATAAAAGGTCCTACTTATAGATCTTTTCTAAACCTAGATAATTTTAGAAAGCCTTGGGAGCTAATAAAATACTATTACATTGATTGATGATTTATTCTAATACAAAGAGAAAGAAAATAAAAAATAAAATAAAATTTAAAGCTTTCAAATACATGAAAATTCGGATGGTTCAAATAAGGAAAGTAGAGTGGTCCTAAATTCAAACAATTTATAAAAAATTTTTGCCTCTTTGACTGGTACGACCCATCTACCCATCAAAAAACCTTAATTTAAACTTTTTAATTATTCTACCATGATTTTAAAGTGATTATTGGTTGTCCACGAGCTTGCTTGAAGTGTTTTATATGATGAACGTCCCAAATCTTGGTGTTGAGTCTTGGTTTGTAATCTTGTTATTGGTTTTTTCTTGGTTCTGCATCAAATGGTCATATGCACAAGGATGGGAAACATTATCCTTTAGTAATCATGATATATTTTGCATCCATGGTTATATTTCATAAACAATGTTGCATACCTGTATGCTTCATCCATTTTTTCAATTGGTGGACATGATGGAAATAAGATTGTCATTTTGATACCTCTTATCATAACAATAATCATCACAAGGATCATGATAAGAATTATAATACTGGATAATAGGTTTGTTGATATTCATAATAATAATCATTATAAGAATTTTGTTACTGTACAATACTTACCTAAATAATAAGATTATTTATATTTATCAATATCAAAATGATTACAATAATTATTTATTGAAAATTTTGGTCCACCCTAAAGTCCGCGGGATGAGATTTATTATGGCATAAGCGATAGTCGATCCAAGATCTTAACACCACTTTCAAGACCCTTAGCAACAAAACTAGGAAACAAGATAACCCAAAAAGTTATTACATGTGAAGAAATAACAAAAAAAAAAATTCTAAGATTCTAAATATTCCACAAATATACAATAATCTAATATTGTATTTCTTAAATAATGTGCACGGCTCATCTTTTTTTTTTTTCAATTGATTGATAATGATTTTAGGTAACATGCTGTGAATAAGATCTTGATTTTTAATTCCTCTTATTGCACTGATAATCATCATGAGGATCATGATAATGATTATAATGCTTATGTGAATAAAATGATTATTGATGTTCATAATGATGATCATCATAAGAATTATGATAGGGTGTGTAATGGGTTGTTAATAATAAAATAATTGATATTTATCATGGGCATCAAAGTTATTACATTAATTATATATGGAGTTCTTTTTGCCCAACTCTTAGTTTGCATGATGGGATTTATTAACGCATAGACAAGTTTTGAACCCAAAACCTTAGCAAAGACTCCCAAGGCTTTTACCGACGTTGTGACAAGAAATATAGGCTTCGTTTGGAACAGTTTTGTTACTGCTTCTTGCAGCAACTTTTTAGTACAAAAAATTTAATTTTTGTACTGAAAAATCACTTTAAGAAGCAGTAAGAAAGCCATCCCAAACGAAACCTTAGAGAGTATGAATTTCTTAGATAATTAATATGTCATAGTATGAATGTTTGGCATTTGCTCGTATCTCTAATAGTTTTATTTGACTTATCGTTGGTTTTGATAGATCCTTGAAAAGCTATACCACACAAAACACATCACTGTTGCTCATGAATGGATAAAGCTCGCATCAATCGATTTCTCTTTAGGCAATCCAGCTGATGCTTTATGTGACATAATGCGAGCAGAGGAAATATTTTCACTTTACTATGGTTCTCATGTGGCCAAAATATTTCCCTATATCGAGCATTTCAAGAAAGAGGTGGAGAAGATTGGATTTGTTGCTGTCAGATGAAAGAAGGGCAACAACTTGAATTAATGAAGCTGCATAACAACTGAACTTCCCATTAACCAGAATTGGATATCCTTAGCGATATTCATCTCGCAGGGCCTGTTTGTGTTCTTAGATGTTGCTGTATGAGTTCCCAAAAGGCAGGGTACTTATTTAGGACGGCTTTCTTACTGTTTCTTAAAACAGTTTTTTATATAAAAATTAAAATTTTTATACTAAAAAAATAAGAAAACTGTCTCAAACGAAGCCTTTATTGTTATAAGGAACGGTTTTTTCTTCTTTTGAAACATTGTTTTGTAATTATATGTGCTAGAATACACTTTTTATTTTTTTTGGTCAAAGTGAACTTATTTTCATTCATTTTTTTTTCAGATAACACTGAACTTTGTTTGGGATTTGAATTTTGTTCACTTATTAAGCACTTAGCTGATCTAAAGAGGCTCTCGAAGATACCAAACGCAACGAAAAAGCACTCTATTTCATCATCTGTTTGATAGTTAATTGCATGAACGTCTTGGTAGGGAGAAAAGCGAAAATGATAGAGAGATTAGTGAATATATTTGTCATTCTCCGTCATATGCTAACGGTGTAATATATTTTGATTAAATTTGGAAACTGCTATGTATATATATAATAGAACCAATGTAATAAAATAGATTAAGGAGAATAGAAATTATTTATACACAAAAATTATATTGTATACACATGACATCCAGCTTTATTCTTTATACTAATAAAAATAAAAGAGTTTAATAAGTATCTTAACATTTCTTTTATGTTCGTAAAACATAATACCTCTTTTTAGGCCTTTAAATTGATACCTTATCCCCGCACTGCGGTTAAACAATGAGATCTTTCAAAATAGAAATAAAAGAATTAAAGGATCCAGTAGGTTTCGTCTTTAAATCCAAATTATATTCGTTAGTTCAAATAGATTTTCGAGTCTTCATAGAAAGGAAGAAATGAAGAGGAAATCGGTTATAATTCGTAATATATATAGGAGTGCAGAGAGAGAAAGAGAGAGAGAGAGTTCTATGAGTGCTAAAAGAATCTCTTTAACATGCAGGAAAAACTGCAGCAGTTACCAAATATAAATAGACAATGCAAGTTTAGCGGCAAAGCTATGCAATTGAATTATTTCATCAACCAAGAATTTACATAAGATTTCACATATTGCACTCATTTTAGCTTACAAATTTTGACCATTTAAGCACTGTCATAGCAAAAGCTAAGAACTACACAACACGCCAACAAAAGAAGATTGGAAAAAAAAAAAAAGTTTTTTCCTATATTCTATGAGCTGTGGATTTTACAGTATGTGGAATCTGCAACTAAACTGAGAGAGCAAGCTCTGCCCAAGCCAGAGAAGACTCACTGAGAACAGCACCAACAGAGATGTCAATGCCATCCTCCAACATTGCACATAGTATCTGCATCGATGGCCTCTTCGATGGCTCAGGATCAATGCAGAGACTAATCACACTGCATAGTACAGAGAGGTCGCCAGGCTTCACGTTTTTGAGTTCTGGATCTACTAGCATACTCAGCTTATCTGGGTGCTGCAGATACTCCATTGCCTGCATAACGTAGGAGCTCTGGGTTAGATACTAAAAATAAAATTACATCTTATTTAATAAATTTATGTTAATTATAAGGAATGTTTTTAAAAAAGTAATAGTGTTAGTCTTGATCTAAGTTAAAAGAGAATGATAGACAAATTAAAATTTCTACAGGTTGATTAGTTTAGATAATCAAGTTATGGATTAACTTAAATCAGAATCATTTATGATATAGAAATATTAGAGTTAAGAAAAAGAAAATATGAGAAGTAAGAAGGAAATTTTATAGGTATTTCACCAAAGTTAAGTGAATGAGTGAAAAGGGAAAATTAAGGTATCTAAGATTGAAATGGGGAAATATGTTTCTATCTTATAGAAGTTTACAATTCTCTCTATGATTTAATACATTCATTAATATAATTTTTTATATGGGTACTTGATAAAGTTCATAATACTATTCTATCTTAAATAAATAATCAAATAACCTCTTTTTTTTACTTAAATAACTAAATTCATATTGTAATAAAACATCAAATGTGAAAGCATCTTATTGAAACCCATGTATGTATAAACTTAAATATAAATACAAGAAAAGATAATAAAAGAAAATGAATATGCATGTTAAATAATAAAGTTCATCCCTTATGGTACTGGTTGAGAATGTAATATACCGTGCATGTCAAATAAAAAATACTAGAAAAAAGAAAATAAAATAGAAATGATTGTGCCTTAATTAGTGCAAATTTTGGATGGTGCTCTTGAGATGGTGTTTTAAATCAAACGATACTATATAATAAATTATTTTTAAATAAAATATTTAATGATTACTTGTGAGGATTTATATACATGTTTTATTTTTTTAAATTACTATATTATAAAAATGTAATTTCCCAATGATTTTTGTTGTGCGAACTCAACCTATTCTCAAATGTTAGTCTTAGGAAAGATTCTTTTAGATTAAATGGGTGACATAAAAAGATTTGTGTACCGAAGAAGAGGAGCGAGTGAGAATAGTGATTTAATTGAGATATAAGAAATAGAATGGTTTTGGGTATTATTTGAATATCAACAAAATAGAGTGTTTTAGTGACATTTTATACTTTCAAAGATGTTTCAATTGGATTACTTGTAAAAAAAGTGAAAATGATTAAAGAACCATTCAATCGACTATACTAGCCTTGGTATTCCAAGCTCACAGGCCAGGTTGTGACACCAATTAATTCTCAAGCAGATGTCCAATCCAATTCATTGAGGGATAGTTTTACTTAGGCTAACATTCCTTTTACACCTATTTTAACATCTGACCTTGATATTACTAATGCATTTAGAAAAGAAGCTCAAACATGTAACAAACACTCCATTGCAAAACACCTATCCTATAACAATATATTAAAAACCATGGAGCATTTGTCTTTAGAATATCTAATTTATTTATTCTAAAAACTACTCATCAAGCATTGGATGATCAAAATTGAAAATTAGTTGTGATTGAAGAAATGAATGCTCTAACAAAGAATAGCACTTAAGAGTATTGTTAATCTACTCAAAGATAAGAAGACATTTGGATGTAAATGTGTATTCATAGTAAAATGCAGAAGTGATGGAACTATGAAAATATATAAAGCAAGACTTGTGGTGAAAAGGCTCACCCAACCACATGATATAAACTGCTTAGAGACCTTACTTATATTGCTAAAATTAAGTCTATCAAAATAGTTTAATCTTTTGTCGTAAATGTCCTTTGACTTCTTCATCAATTCAATATTAAGAATACATTTCTTAATGGACACTTACAAGAAGTATACACCTGAATTTGAAGATAATCTTGAGAAAGAGAAAGTATGCAAGTTGAAGAAAACTTTGTATGTGCTAATACAATCTCCTAAAGCATGATTTGAAAGATTTGACAATATTATCTGGAGACATTATTTTCAACATAGTCAAGCCAATCACCCATTTTTCAAGAATTCACCTAAAAGTAAAATAGACATCCATATTGTTTATGCTTGTGATATAATAAAAATTGGAGATGATTTCAATGACATTGATCACATGAAGAAAAGACATGAGGTCAAATTTGACATCAAAGACGTAGAAAAAAGCTTAACTACTTCTTCGATATGGTATTGCCCCTATATAAAGAAGGTATTTTAATTAACCAATGCAAGTATATCATTGATTTGCTTAAAGAAATAGAGATCAGTTAGGAACTCAAATGGATCCCTACTTAAAATTATATATATATATATCTTAAAATACCTTAAAGGGACTCCAATAAAAGAACTCTTGCTCCAAAATAAAGGTCATCTCTATGTAAAAGCTATATGGATGCGGATTGAGCAGAAGACATCAATGATAAGATTTGTTTTTGGCTATTGTACCCTTATAGGAGATAACCTGGTTACTTAGAGAAGCAAAAAATAAAGTATTATTGCTAGAAGTAGTGCTGAAGCCAATTTCTAGTCCATTGCATAGGCCTTTGTGAAATGTTGTAGATAAAATGGTTTCTAGTAGAATTAAAAGTTCTTACTCCAATGGCTATCAAAACCTATTAGAATAATAAACCTCAATTTCCATAGCACATGATCCTATTATACACGATAGAACAAAGCATGACCTACATACCTACAACAAATAAAGTTGCTATATTCTCATAAAAAAACTTCCTAAGTCAAAATTTGAATATCTTGTTAGCATGCTTTCAATGAGTAATATCTTCATGACATCTTGAGGGAGGTGTTGAATGTCTACCTACAGTCTTCCTAGACTGCGAGCTAGAGGCACTGTCTACTAATGAAAGCACTCACAAGCTTAATTCCTTCCGAAACTAGCAGCCTTGATTCCTTCTATTAGATTACCCTGCAACCAATAAGGTTCAGATGCTTAAAGCACATGGATCAGCCCTCTGGATCCCACGGTTTCCCGCCCTACCGGCACTGATTTTATATCTTCCCTTTCTGCATTTTTTTTTTAATATTTTCCTTACGTAAATCCTATGAAAAAGCCTATACATACAGCAACCCTGTGTACAAAAAATACAGCAATAAAAAACTACAGTTTTTTCTATTTTTCTATTATCTTTTTTCAGATTTTAGTTTCAATTGCAAATTATAATCCTTTCCATGTATTTTTGGGGCATATTCTATATGGAATAAACTGTAGAGATCTAAGGAGATAAATATTAATACTATCAACCATCTGAAACAGCTTTGATTTTGGTTGTAGAATCGGAAAAAGGTTGGTTAGAATCAATCAAGTTTTATGGTAAGTAAACTATATCAGGACTTCGTACCTTTGTGATCTTTATGGCAAAAAGAAGGGAAAATGCTACTCAGCATTAGGCATGCATAGAAGACATTCACTCAAAACTTCTCGTCTGTTTGGGACAGCTTTCTTATTATTTCTTAAAGCAGTTTTTTAGTAAAAAAATTTAATTTTTGTACTAAAAAATTGCTTTAAAAAGCAGAAAGAAAGCCGTCCCAAATGAACCGTTCATTTAAACATTCCTACTTTCACAAAAGCAGAGGGTAATCATGCAGATTCTCCTTAAAAAAGGAATGTTTCCTACATGCTCTTTGGATTGCTAACAATTTCTGTGAAAGTTTATATCAAGTGCTGATGAATAAGTTACCCAATTTACAATGCACCCTCTTTCTTTGCAATGCGGTGGTCTTCCACTGATTAGTTCCAACAAGAGTACCCCCAGATCATATGTGTTGCCCTGAACATACATTTTCCTTGCCTCTGAATTTTCCAAGAAACCATTGTTTAAACCTCCATTACTTAAGTAGCTTAGGCCATTGTCTGATTTCGAAACTATTGTAGTCCATCTTTCAAAATCAACCAACTGCATAGCCAAATATAGAAATGCAAATTATAATGGGAAAATTATTAAATATTTTCTTTTCTGAGGCAAAGTACATAGTAAATAATGAGAAATAGCCAGAACATATGGAACATCATTTAGAACAAGCAGCGGCCATGGATGATAGGTTTGTCAAATCCCAGAAACAGAAGAGAAAGTTGGACTTTTCCAGCTTCTAGTGCGTATAGCAATTAATAATAAAATACATGCCAGAGACTTCTAATTTTATTCCATTCCTCTGTAATAGGGAACCAGAACAATAAGCTAGCTACGTTCTTATGATTTAACCTTGGCACAATGTTTATTGATTGCACAAGGACGGGCTTCTAACAAAAAAAGCCTGACAAACTGAAAAACCTGCTGGCTAATACGACATAGAGAAGAGGCGAAGCAAGAATGATTGAAGAGAGAAAAGGAAGAGAATATTATTAGTGTGGAATAGTTTGTACAGAGTAGTATAAATAGGTTAATTACATACAAGAATTGTAACAAAAATGTCCACGCAGACAAGCTGACGTGGAGGAGTGCTAACAGGCCCCCTCAAATTAATCATCATAGGTTGAATGATTAATTTGCTTCGGAGGTTGGAAAAGTGAGTTGCCGTGAAGGGCTTGGTGAGAATATCTGGAACTGTTGAACTTGGCTATTATAGATGAATTATTATTATTATGTGACAATTTAGTTGATAATGAAAATAAATCTATCGTATTTATATCCCATATGATCATTTAGGGATACAAAGACTCTACAGCATATCAGTTTAAATAATTTTCAAAACATAAACAACTTATTTAGATCACTTATGAGGTCAATATTTCTTTTAAAACCTTTCAATTATGCCTTCCAAATTTTCCATTTAAATATCAAAATCTATTTTAACACATGCAACAAAAAACCACCCAAGTTGTCATATTCACCCATACCTTTGGTGAGAAATCTTCAGTAAGATATACTGCATTAGAGTTGAGTTCAGATATTGTGAATGGAGGCTGTACTTCAGTGTGCAAGTATCTCAATCCACGAGCAACACCAATTGCAATTTTCAAGCGCCTGAGCCAGGATAAATGGCCTGTATCACCATCTACAGTTTTCAAAGAAACAAATATCACAATGTGGACCACTAAATATCATAAAGTGGAGCATTTCAGAAGTAAAGAAATCAAGTAATGAACTTACAATGAAGATGCTCATACAAAGTCCCATTGGATGCATACTCAAAAACGAGCATCCTCAAAAACGGCTCATTCTCTTTGCAATAACCAAGAAGTTTTGAAGTGTTTTCATGATTTAACCTTGACAAGTTAGCAACCTAAAGTGAAAAGGGTTCATTTCAGCAAAGAGTCCAGATAATTTTGCTAAATCAAAGGGAACTTAGACTTTGTACCTCCTTCTGAAAGCAAAGCTCAAGACAGATTGGCCAGTGAGAGACAGATACTGCAAGTGATATGACAGCAATTTCAGGCCCATCCTTTAAAGTCCCCTTATAAACTTTGCTGTCTGGGGAAGACCCTATAATGTTGCTAAAATCTTCACAAGCAACTTCTAGCTCCTGTCGGCTAAACCTCAACATAGTTTTGAGCAGACCATCATCTGTGCAGAATTTTATTCACACAAGTCAGTGCAGTAAATAATATGCATTTGAAGCTAAGACAATTTATTTGCAGGAGAAAAGCCAGAACAAACCAATTGAGATTTTATGATCCTTTATGGTTGGTGTTCGCTTCCATGGGATTACCACATTAGACTTTGACTTTGATTTGCACCTTTTAGCAGCACGAACTATGCATGTTATAAAAAAGATAACAAAAGCAGCACCTGTAAATACTTCCAGAATCAGAAGCCACACAGGTTCCTTTAGGTTTTGATGATTGATCTTGACACTAGATAGCTCGTAAGTCTCTTCTGCAGTTTCTTGGTTTTTAGCAGAGATACCTTCAACAAGTAATGAATATTTAAAACCTCCAGAAAAAAAAAAATCAAGAAGCAAAACCTTTGCTAAAAATAATTGAAACAATTACGCATACTGTAATGCATTTTCGTGTAGCATCTAGGATACACCCCAAAACGGTACCCAATGTATGAGATTATTTCATAAAGGACGTTTTGGAAGTTTATTAAGGCTTCGTTTGGGATGGCTTTCTTAATGCTTCTTTAAGCAACTTTCTAGTATAAAAATTTAAATATTTGTACTAGAAAATTACCATAAGAAGCAATAAGAAAGTTGTCCCAAACGAAGCCTAATTTTTCCGGCTGCCCTAAACGAATTATGCTTCTATTCTTCATAATCAATGCAAAATGAAGTCTACAATAGTAGCAAGAAAATGTAGCAATCAATTGGATGAACCTAAATCAAATTCTATGTTTGTTGTGCATTGATCTTCTTTTTTATTTTTTATTCTTCTTCACTCTTTGTGTTTATATAGATTTCACCTATTTTCCAACACACTTCACAGTGTCATTTACAACGTTGAATCCCAACTACTCTTTTTCAATGCCATTATTTTTTGAGGAAATCTTCTTTTTCAAGAAAATATCGCTAAGATTCAATTTGAGTAAGCGAAATTTGTCATCGACATTCTTTATAAATTATAATACTATGTGCTAGCTTTGCAAGCTTATGCCCATAGCATCAATCTCTCAGCAATGGGGTCCTTAGGAGGGAATGATACACAACTCTACCTATTGCACTTTCAAAGAGGCTATTTTGAATGAAGACAACCTAACAATTGTTCCTGGTTTGATCTCTTGTGATCATTGATTTACCTCAAATCGAAATTGTACTTCACAGTTATTGGATGGTCATTATCCTGTGTTCAGTCCCTAAACAGCCATCAGAATGTTTAGGCTTCTTCCATCACACAATAAACAAACCCATAATCTCTACAACGATTATCCTTAAATTGACACTTCAATATGTGGGTATTCTTCTTACCAAACCAGGAAAAAGAAGACAATTGTGCGACAACAACAATATGATTTTTCAACAAGTTTTACATTGGTTGTCGACTACCTAACACAACCCTCCACTTTTCTCATCCAGACCATAGGACCTGGCAACGACAGTATTAAAAAGAGGCCAACTGTATGCTCAGAAAATCATCAACATTGAAATTTGTCAAAGAAATGGAATAAAAAGCAAAAAACATGAAAATAAAGAAGTAAAATAAAATGTACTAGGACTTGTATTATTTAAGTTGTCAATGGCATAAAATTGTTCAACAACAACAACAACAACAACATCAAGCCTTTATCCCACTACGTGGGGTCGGCTACATGAATCCTTTTTCTCCATTGTGTCCTATTAAAAGTCAAATTCTCGTTTAAATCTAATAAAGAAAGGTCATTCCTAATATTTTCTAACCAAGTCTTTTTAGGTCTACCCCTACCTTTCTTAACATAAGTCAAATCTAATACCTCTACTCTCCTAACCGGGTCATCGCAAGGCCGCCGTTTTATGTGACCAAACCATCTAAGGCGACTTTCTCTAATCTTATCTTCTACTGGAGCTACTCCAAACTTTTCACGTATATGCTCATTTCGTATCCTATCTCTAAGGGTAAAGCCACTCATCCACCTGAGCATCCTCATCTCTGCCACACTTAACTTAGTATTATGCTTCTCTTTTAAAGGCCAACATTCGGCACCATAAAGCATTGCAAGCCTCACTACCATCTTATAGAATTTTCCCTTAAGTTTGAGGGGTACATTTCTATGGCATAAAATTGTTGCAAACATAAAATGATTCCGATCATAACATCAAAGTGATAATCCTCTCACAATTTTATTTTTTTCTCACAAGGATCAAAAAAGAGATATTCATTGGGAACAAAGTTGAACATCATACATTGTTGAGAAGATCGATGATAGATGGAGTCTTTATCTTGGAAGCAGTTACCTTGAAAGCTTGTCCTAGATAAAAAGCAGAATTAAACTAATGAAATTAAGATAATGAACTTAGGCAATGAAGTGTTAGTTTGTACCTTGGAAGGTACTCCAAGCAAGTGGGTACTTTTCCCAGCAGAAAGTTGTATGAAAAATCTGCAACTTTTAACTTAGTTAACTGGCATATACCAGTTGTGTTACTTTCATAAATTAGCCTGAATCATAAAGAATAGCTTTTAATACACCAGAAACTTTATAATGCAACAAGATGAAATCAGCATATTAAAACCGCATCAGTTTCCAAAGCTGCTTATCATGACTAAAGACTAATGAAATTCTGAAAGACGGAGAAAATTTATAATCCCTTTTGAACAATGCTTCATGTATGGACTTTTCCATGGACTAAAATTTATCGAGATTATATAGTCTGACTTACATCCTTAATCAATGAGTTCAAAGTTTGAATTGGCCATCCATGGGATGATAATTTGTCTTAGAACGGTAACATTAATGAGGGTCCTCTTGAAATCATATGCCATTAGAAGAAAAGCAAACAGATGGCATGCATTTTCATTAATGCAGGCATCAGCATTTGGCAGTTGATTTAGGCTTCGTTTCGGACAGCCCTTTTATTACTTTATAAAACTACTTTTAGTACAAAAATTTCTAATTCAAAAAATTTTTATACTAAAAAGTCGTTTAAAAAAGCAGCAAATAAGTTGTCTCAAACGTCTCAAACGAAGCCTTATAATAATTCTATAAGTTATAATCATAACCATTAGTCTTATCCGATAGGTTACGCATGGCCGCCTCCTCGTATAAACTGAATGGCAAGTTTGATGCTAAAGATAGGAAACATTGGTCATAGATTAACAATTTTAAAACATTATCCTTAGGAATAACAAACCTTGTAATCATATCAATTACTTATTACATGATGCTAGGATTTGAATAAATTAAAAAAACTTCTACTATATGTTTTATGGTATTAGTTAAAAAACAGTTTTGGGAAGAAGGCAATTACATTCCATGAACTGTTGATGAGTTTGAGCTTTTGCTCCCAGGAATTGGTCCACTAAGCTTATTTCTATCCAAATACAGTGCAGCCAGGTTGACCAGATTACCAAGCTCGATAGGGATGGCACCAGTCAAACCATTGAAATGAAGATTTCTGCAAAATTATAAGCAATAAATGAAGTCAAAAACTTCTCCAAAAAAAAAGAAAAGGGAGGTAAAGAATAACGTTCTTACAATGTTGTTATATTACTCAAGTCTCCAATTTCAGAAGGAATAGGCCCCAAAAGACGGTTGACACTCAAATCCAACACCCGCAAGTTCTTGAGCATGCCGATTTGTTTGGGTATTGCTCCGTAGAACAGATTGTTATTTAAAATTCTGAAAATAGTCATTATCTTCGGTAAGGTAAGCAACGCATGAAAGTAAAAAAAAATAAAAAATAAATAAATAAATAAATTATGAAATTGGAGCATCTAAATAGATAAAGAACACACAGCTCTTGTAGTGAATTCAGTGACCCAAGTTCTGGTGCAAGGAACCCTTTCAAGGAAGAATTGGCAAAGTTTCTGCAACAAAATCCAATACGCAAAGTGAGCACAAGAAGCCTAATCCTCCTAGGGTACATAATTAGTGGAGATGTGAAAGCGCAAATTAAAAACAAAAAAAATCAGCACCATCCAGTAAATGATGCAACAGGAAAACATATATGATTTGACGCATCACGCTTGAGGTAGAAATCATTCCAATGAAATATCACTACTCTTTTTTACTAGAAGCAGATTTACAAGAGAAAACTACAGTTGTCCGGAAAATTAAAAAAAAATAACACTTTTGAAATCTTCACAGAACAAATGCAGTTTTTCGATAGAAATAGCAATTTCACGATCTATAGACCAGCTCGTCACTTACAGAGAAATCACATGGTTCTTCGAATCTGAGCACTTGATGCCATACCAGCCGCAAGGATCTGTGCCGGTACTCCAGTCTGATAGTTTTGCAAGAGGATCTTCAGAAATGGCTCCCACAAAAGCTTTCAGTGCTGAAACTGCAAAAGTTTCCAGCAATTCAAGTCAGAAATTCAATAAAGATGCGATTTTGAAGCTCGGAAAACTTCGAAAAAAGCAATTTTGAAGGTTTATCAAAAAATCCCCAGCTGCAACTATCTCAACGGAATCATAGACAATGAAAGCTTAAGGAACTTCACTTAAAGCTGAAGAGTGGAAAACACATACCCTCTTCCTCTTGAACAGACAAAGTCTCAAGGAAAAGGTATCCCATTTGGGTCGCAAGAAGCAGATGAAGAAAAGTTGGAAACCTCATTACATCTGTATGCGCTATCTTCCTAACATCGTGAAGACGAACAAAGATCTCCAAGGCTTATCCCATACCAGAAGAACATATAATGAAATAGCTAGTAACCTTAAACTAATAAAGCTTAAAGCGAAATTGGAAATTTGACACAAGGGATGACGAGATAGAAGAACACGGACCCAAAATAAGTAATCTCGAAAAGGAAGGTCGGAAACGGAAGAGTAAGAAATTGAAGTCCACATGGGAGGAGTTGGTGAACAAAAGTGCCTAAAGGGAAGAGAGAGAGAGAGAGAGAGAGAGAGAGAGAGATTTGATCTTTAAAGCAAAACCATAAAATTATAGAGGAGGCGAGAAAGGAAAGGAATGTCTAATGTGTCCTGGTACTGAACTGTGGGAGAGGGGAGATCTGTTTTGATATCCCAGTCCTATAGTCTTAAGAACAAAACATAAATCAGGTTCCTGAGATAAATTTCAAAAAATATTCTTCTGAAATTCATTTATCATCTACCTAACTATTATTATCAATAAAATGTTCAAAAAAAATTCATAACTATATGATTTTAAACTTGAATGAACAAAATTCTTAATTACTAGAATAATCAAATGGCTATGGTGAAGCTATAAAGTTGGAAATTTGAATGAGGGCTACTATACGTTGGGCTGTTGTTGTGAAGTAAAACCATCCAAAAAACACAAATAAGGAAAAGAAAGTACACCAAATAATTTAAAATTAGAAAAAAAATCACAAACTCACACCATATCAAGAAATTCACTATAAATATTTGGAGAAATTATACAAATCTCTTTCTCTATCACTCTATCATTATCTCACTTCTCTCTTATATTGTTCTACAAATATAATAGACAAAGAGACGTTCTGGAACAATACTAAGGGACGCGATCCTTTAAATTAAACATGAAAATCGATGAAGAAAACTGTCCAACCCGACTTCCAGCTTAATTCGAGAGCCACGACACTTCACTCTTTGTCTCCAACCTGCTTTGCAGCATCGTGATGCTTGCTCTAAAGCGCCACATGGCCATAGCGCTTCGATCTCTATTACAGTGTTGCAACGCTTGAGTATATAGCATCACGGTGCTGTATCGGGAAAAAAAAATTTCAAGGGCAGAGCCCCCGAACCCAAGTCAAGGGAGGCCCACCTGCAACCCTTCAACAAGCTCTATCGATGAAATTGAGATGTAGGTCAACAATATAATGTGATTGATCCACACAATTAGATTCCACACAGAACTTACAACTGACACAATGAGTTTTTATTTTTAAATTTATAATATTTTCTTTAAATTAATGAGCCACAAATTCTTTCCCACATTAGTATTCCAAATATCTATTAAAATATAATGACAATAAAAAAATTAATAGAACAAACCTTTACAGCATCCAACAAATATCATGTTCTATTTTTTTCTTATTGTCCATCACAATAGCAAACAGAGGAAAAGGTAATACGTGTAAGAAATGCCAAATAATGATACTAATTATAAACTCACAATGTTCTCGTCTTACAGCAATAGTCAGTTGGAAAAATCACAGACCAAAGACCACAGCAAAGTTTGAATCTCGTAAAATTCATCAAAAATGACCTAAATTTCCAGTGTTGCGTATTAATTGTAAATACCTACCAAACAAAAAACAAGTACTTTATTTATTTATTATATTATATTAAGGCTTTGTTTAGAATAATTTCTTATAGCTTTAATTTTCAGGTCCTAATCATATTTTTAATTTGATCATTATTTTTAAGAAATTTAAGAAAAACAAGTGCTTTATTTATTTATTATATTATATTAAGGCTTTGTTTAGAATAGTTTCTTATAGCTTTAATTTTCAGGTCGTAATCATATTTTTAATTTGATCATTATTTTTAAGAAATTTAAGAGTATATATATATATATAACAGCTTTACGATCACCTTTATAAAAAAACAATTGTTCCATACATATCCCAATTTTATGATAAAAACTTTAAAAAATAATAATAATAGTTTTTTAGTAAGGTTTTGTTTGGGACGGTTTTATTTTATTGCTTCTTAAAACAGCTTTTTAGTACAAAGATTTTTGTACTAATAAGCTGCTTTAAGAAGAAATAAAAAAGTTGTCCCAAATGAAACCTCTAAGAAGCAGTAAGAAAGTTATCTCTAACAAAGTCTAGATTGTGCTTTATATATAAATATAAATAGTTTTGATTTAATAATTATCAAGTTAACCTAAAAAAAATAAAGTACATAGAGGATTGCTTCAATTTTCCCAAAAAAAAAATTACTTGAATTAATTTATAATTTTGAAGATATTTACTTACATTTACTTTAATAATAAGTTTGAGTGTAGCATTAATCTTCCTCTAAAATAGCTGAAAATGGAAAAAAAAAATGTAATTTTTAAAATCTATGCAGCCTTATAGCAAATGCCCCATATTAGTCAAAACTAGTCACCTAAATCTCAAGTCAGTTTCAATATATATAAAGCTTTGTTTTCTTTATATTTTTTGGTCTATGTCATTAAGGCAAAGTTAGTAACCAATTAAAGAGACATTTATCTTCACAAGTACAAACATTGACTTTGCAAGATTTATTGATAGGGTTAAACGAAATATTTATATGAACTGTGATTGAATAATTTATTGTGAGGTTTTAGAAAAATTTTATGAAGGAGAGATGAGTATTTAATATATTTGCTTTATATAAAATTATAGCAAACATATAAATAGATTAGAGATGCAAAAAAATTTGTATGTGAAAATTCATTGAAAGAAAAAACAGAAGTTGTAATAATTCACTATGTAAGTAAAGACAAAGTATACATTCTTCCCCGTAGTTGAATAAGGGATTATATGAACTGTGATTGAATTTCTTCAGTTGAACAACTGAAATCGAATAACAAATTTGAATTTCAGTAGTTAGGTGATGGGAGCAGGCAATGAAATTTAGGTAATGGTGGTAATTGATGCTAATGATGGAAGTTGGCGACGAACATCAAGCAATTCAATAAGGGTTTTCAAGTTTCTCAGCTCCAAAATCCCTCTCATGTTGAAAATCAAATTATATTATGACTTTTTGTGCCATAATTTAAAATAGTTCATCAAATGACTCGTATTAAACTATTAATCATACTAATTATAGATGATTTATTTAACATTTGAATTCTTTAATGAACTTATAATTGAATAATTATCGATTTGTTTGATTCGTCTCATTGATTCGTTTGATTTGATCATAATCTCGCAAGATTTGAAGATCATTTGGTTATATTTTATGTCCATGATTTGAGCTCATTTGAAATTGGATTGGATTACTTGTAGTGTAGATTAATTTATCTCATCGGAACATTCAATTTAAATATATGTTTGTTAAAATTGTAATTCAAACAATCTTGAATTTAATTATGAAAGATTTAACATGCCATCTATCCCCTATTTTCATATACCACAAACTTCAAATGTTCTTCATTATTCACCATCTTTTCTTGCAATATTTAATGCACACCACAAATATCATCAAAGTATTTTATTTGCTTATTTATTATTATTATTATTATTATTATTATTATTTGAGCTGTAAAGCAGAGCCCTGCATTGGGTGCCCATACCCACACCCACCCACGTATCCACCCATATCCAATGGGCATGAGTGGGTATGGGTACGCCCATGACCTCGTGGGTGAGTATGGGTGGGTACTCAACATCAGCAGACAAAATAATTTACATTACTAATTACCATATGTATGCAATATATTACAGTAATCCTTACTACGCAGTGCACAACACTGAACCGCATCATGACCACGATAAACTTTGATATGTGGCTTAAAAGTTTGCAGTCAGAGAAAATGACAAAAAACTCAAAGCCATTAATCCGTGGCAGACTGCATTCAAGAAGCGATGATAAGGCATATGGGTCGGGTTTGAGTTTTCGACCCATTTATAAAGTCGGGTCGGGTCTCGTTCGTCGTTGCTGCCTCGCCGTTCTGTGCAGCGTCGCTATCTCATCGTTCCGCGCACCGTCGCTGCCTCGCCGTCCCGCGCAGTACTGTCTTTTGCCTCGATGTTCACCATCTGTGTCGTCTGTGATGAAACCGCATGAGGAAAAAGTCGAAACTAAAAGTCGAAACTACGTGAGGCGAAACAATGGTCGTGTCGGGTTAACCTGGACTCGAGGCAGTTCTGGTTCATGTCATATCAAATTTTATCGGGTCAATTTCAAGTTAGATCCGAACCTGAACTGAAACCTGATTTTGACAGCCCTATTCTAAAGTGAATAATATTATGTATGCATTAATGTAATAAGAAATTATTTCAATAAATTAAATTCATAACCTATGGGGCATGAAGAGGCCTTAAGGCCGCCTTTATATATGTGTAATATTCATTGGAATTTAAGAAAAATTTTAGTTGTTATTATGTTGTGCTATTCTTTTTTAATGAATATAAATATATTATAAGATTTATGTATCATTTAAATGGAAAGGTAAGATATGTTCCTTTGCATATTTAATTGTAAAATATTAATTCTATGAGAAAATAATCTAGCAACTTTAATATTAAAAAAATTATTTTTCATCACTAAAATTTCTCAAAAATAGTGAGAAAATAACAAGAAAGTAGTAGCCTAAAGAAATTATGATTGCCATTGAAAAGTAAAATAGCAAAAAAGTTGTCCCAAATAGATCCCAAGGCTTCATTTGAGATAACTTTCATAGTTTTTATTTTGCAACTATTTTTTCATCGCTTTCAAGAAATTCTTGTGCTATAAAGATGCTTTTAAGGCAGCTTTAAAAAAAAAAAAAGTTAATTGTCCTCGACATCTTTACAATAATTCTTATAAAAAGCTGCAGTCATCTAAAAAAAATTCTAAATCTCTTGGGATTATATGATGGTTTTTAACTTGAATTAAAATAAACAATTTCTCTTATAAAAATGTGCACTTAATAATACTAATATATTGTAAAGTTATAAAGATGTTGTTCGATATAATATCTTTCCAATCATCTCTAATTTTTTACAAATAAAAATTTATAATATATCATATCCTAAAGACATGCACTCTTAAAATAAAAATAAGTTTTATGATAATATGATTGTTTTCAAAATGACACATATTCTATATAAGAAAAAATAAAGCTAACTTCTATACAATAGAGAGTCATTATGTACATCTTCCATTCATTAGATCAGAGGAGTACTAGAGGAACTATGAATATTTAAATAGGGTCACATGGCTTTGGTTGGACCCAAAATTATTATTTTTAGTTTGCCTAAGGACCTTTCCAACTTTCCATGGTCTTCTTTAATTACTAAGATATTGCTTTTCAGTTAT